TAAGATTTTATTTATCTGACAGAGAGAGACACAGGAGAGAGGGAACACAAGCAAGGGGAGTGGGAGAGGGAGAAGAAGCCTTCCGGCAGAGCGGGGAGACAGATGGGATGCGGGCCTTGAGTCCAGAACCCTGGGATCATGACCTGAGCTGAAGGCAGATGCTTAAGGACTGAGCTACCCAGGTGCCCCTTCCTTTGATGGATTTAAAAACACAGGTGCATATAGTTTTCTTTTTTTTTTTTTTAATTTTATTTATTTATTTGACAGAGATCACAAGTAGGCAGAGAGGCAGGCAGAGAGAGAGGAAGGGAAGCAGGCTCCCCGCAGAGCAGAGAGCCCGATGCGGGACTCGATCCCAGGACCCCGGGATCATGACCCGAGCCGAAGGCAGCAGCCTAACCCACTGAGCCACCCAGGCGCCCTGCATATAGTTTTCTTAAGTAAGCTCTGATCACCGATCTCCTCTGACTTTGAAATCTTCAAATCTCCCACTACCTCCAGAGTAATCTGCACAGTCAGCAAGCCACCATCCTTGACAAAGTCTTGATTTGTCTGCTCAATCTCCTACCGCCCCTTTTCTTTAGCACTAATAGTGGTCCTCAAACTTCGGTGTGAATCAGAATCCTCCATGGGGCACCTCTTAAAAATACAATTCCCTGGGCTCCAATCCCAAAATATCTGGGTTGTGCCCCAGGCATTTTTGGGTTTTTGTTGTCTTTGATGCTAGAGGACATATACATTGTCAAGTTTCTTCCTGGTGTTTCTAACTCACCGAATTTTTTGAAACACTCTACTTTTTCGACTTTACCTAAATTTAAGTTCCCCAAACTTTCTCACTTAATTCAGGCGTTAAATTATTCCTTCTCCCAGAATCTCCTGATTTTTAAAAATCTATCCATCTTTCAAGACTCAGATCAAATGCCACCTCTCCCAGGAAGTCTTCCCTGCACATTTCTTTGATATTTGGCTGCACTTTTCTTGGGGCACCTCCAACTTATTGAGGAAGCGTCCACGCGCCCGGCTAGCCAGAGTGTTCCAGAACCAAAAGGCACATATCCCTCCACTGCCCACCCCAAACCAGAGCCCTCCCGCGGAAATCGGACATGCGCAGTAATTCCTGCTGGGTCACTATCCGAATCGGTCATTTTTCCCGGAAATCCAAGGCACAATTCTCTCAGATGCCCTTTGCAGTTGTGAAGCAAGGCACGTCCCAAAGTCCAAAGGAGGGAGTTGGAAGGAAGGTAGGAATCACTCAGACCCTAGAAACGCGTTAGCTTTCACTCGAACAACCCACAGGAAAGAGCCTGCCAGAAGGCGCTTCCGCCTTTCGGCCCGCTCCGCCCCCCCCAGGTGTTCACCTCGCCTTCCGATTGGCTGTCCCACGTGACCCGGCGGCCGTAGGATTGGTTGCTCCGCGAGGGCTTTACTGGGCTAGAGGACGCCCGCACGGCAGCGAGGCTGAGGCCGGCGAGAAGCGGGAAGCGGGCAGCGGGACCGGGACTGGGTTTAGCCATCCACCGAAAGGCGGAGGGTCGGCTGCTTTTAGTCTCCGCAGGCCTCCCGAGATAGGGCGTAGGAGCTTGAGGAGTTCAGAAAGCGGGTTGCGGACTCCTGTCTGGGACTTTGGTTTGAGCCCTGGCTTCGGCCTTTCTCGCATTTCTCCGCAAGGACGGTTCCTCTCAGTCTTTGCAGAAGTTGGGAACGTTGGGCTTTATTTTCATTGTTTGGTCGAGGGTCCCACTGTATGTAAGCACTCGTTGTTCTGCGCCAGGCATCATGGAGACAGCCTTGAGGTAGAAGCTGGGGGAGGGAGGGCTTAGGGATGCTTGAGGTATGTTCCTTACCCACCTGCAATGTTGGAGGTAAGTTGGCTTTATATATTGGGCTGTTGCTTTTATAATCGAGGAGCTTATGGTTTTGGTGGGGGTTGCCCACTGACTGAATTAAACGTTCATTTATTGACCCTCGTCCTATGTACCAGACACCGTTCTGAGTGTAATGGATGCAAAGGCCGGTAAGACGCTGCCCTGGTTCTTTGGGAACTCTGTCACGGGGCTGGTGGGATAGACGGGATGTGGGGGATGTGCATGGGTGAGTAAGGGATGTGATGCGTGCTGTGGTGGGAGAAGTGCTGTGGAGGCAGAAGAGAGGATGATTGAGGGTTGGAGACCACTTTACTGAGAAGGTGACGTTTGAGTAAGGTTTTAAAACTGTAATTAGGCGTTCTCCAGATTGCAGGGCCTGAGGGAGGCACTCCAGATGGAGCAAAGTGTGCTGAGGAAGAGAATTAGGGACGTGTGCTGGCTGGGTATGGTGGGAGCTCACTTGGAGCTCTGCTCCCAAGTTGCATGCTTGTAGACAAAGTTCTCTCAGCCTCTGCTTTCCTCATTTTTAACACGCACTTCACCTGTAGAGGATGATGAGCTAAAGGCTCAAGCATAACCCCTGTAAAACAGGCGCTTTGTTAATTTCTCTCTTTTAATGGAGTTTAGTTGCTGAATGGCCAACACAGACCAACAGCTGCCAGTTTTAAACTAAGGAGTATCAATCTATTGACATTTTTTTAAAAAAGATTTTATTTATTTATTTGACAGACAGAGATCACAAGTAGGCAGAGAGAGAGGAAGGGAAGCAGGCTCCCTGCTGAGCAGAGAGCCCAGTGCTGGGCTCGATCTGGATACGCTGGGATCAGGGCCAGAGCTGAAGGTAGAGGCTTTAACCCACTGAGCCACCCAGGCGCCCCTCAGTCTATTGACATTTATAGATGGCTGAAGGAAGCATGCGCTGTCTCCAGAATGGTAACTTCGATACTGTAGGCTGGGGGGGGTGACATGGTGATCCAAGTACTTTTCCATGTCGTTGATAGCATACCACCAGAAGGTGTCATTTAGAATAAATGAAATGCAGTCAGCCTTCTTATTCAGAAATTGATTATTCAGGTTGTGAATTACCTAGACTTTGCATTGCTTTTTTTTTTTTTTTTTAAGATTTTATGTAATCTCCACACCCAATGTGGGGCTCAAACTCATAATCCTAAGATCAAGAGTCCCACGATCCACTGACTGAGCCACCCAGGAGCCCCTGCATTGCTTCTTTTATCTTGCCCGTGGCCTGAAGAAAATTGACATTAAACCTCAGATTAGTTGGTAGTGAAAAAATATAAATCTGATAATCAGACCTTTGTTCTCTTTCAGCTCTACTGTCAGTTAATTTGCTGTGGACCTTTGGCAAAAGATAGTCTCTCGGGGTTTAGCATTCTTTTTTTTTTTTTTTTTAAGATTTTATTTATTTATTTGACAGAGAGAGAGATCACAAGTAGGCAGAGAGGCAGTCAGAGAGAGAGAGAGGAGGAAGCAGGCTCCCCGCTGAGCAGAGAGCCCGATGCGGGCCTCGATCCCAGGACCCTGGGACCATGACCTGAGCCGAAGGCAGAGGCTTTAACCCACTGAGCCACCCAGGCGCCCGGGGGTTTAGCATTCTTAAGATAGAAGATTTCAATATAAAAACTTTATGACTATACTTTTTATCTTTGTTGGCAGCAGAATTGTAAATCATATTTTTACATTAAATGAACAGAAGGCTACTTTATAATGGAATTTAGTTGAAGATCTTTCCTAAAGCTTTTGCTTTAGAATTAGACTGTAAATCCTTCACAGATGTCCCTGGAATTTTATCATGCATGGGTTTGGACTCATTAAAAAAAAAAGTTTTTGAACCAAAAATGCTTCTCCATGACTATATTTCAAAAACAAAAAAGCTCCTCAAAACCAAAACTTCGAGTTTGCATTTTTTTGTACAGCAGAATCTGTAAAGCAAGCATAGTGGAACATATTTATTAAAAGCCTGTGGTTGGTTGAAACTTAACTATATAGAAGCCTTTATTTTTTCATAGGTTAACCTAAGTCTTCTTGGATGCAAAAAAAAGAATGGGCTGCTCTTAGGTATATAAAGATGTGAAATACAATGATGCGATGATGAGTGAAGTATAGTCTGACCTGGTATTGCCATTGCCTCAGTGTTGGCTCTGACCAGGGTATGATTCTTTAATCTTCTCTCTGAGCTGATTCTGGTTGTGGTTTTTCCACATTGGAATGTTCTTTTCTATTTGGATACTGATTTTATTATGTATAAGAGTGTTCCTTGGATACTCTTGGATTGCTGACACTTTCATCTTTTCCTTCTTAGGTTGAGGTGAAGAATCTGGCTTTGATATCTTCGTGGAAGACTACATTATTTTCAATCCTGAATCTGGTTCAGTCTTCTTATTGATTTATTACTGTATTAAAAATGTTTGTTTAATTAGCTATGGTGTTTGTTTTGGTAAAACCTTGCAATTTAACAAGAACTTTAACAAATATCCATTACATTCTTCTTATACAGAAAAATGTTAATATTTTCAAATCCATAAGTTATTCCATTTCAAAATTTAATTTGATCAACTTCATGCTATCAGAAAATGTGCTTTGAATTGCTAAATGAATTGAATTATTAGAAAACACTTACCTCAGCAGAGATGCTTAAATTATTTTCATCCTTCCTCTACCCGTATATTTTCACCAACCCGAAAATCCAGTGGCATGAATTTTACTACATAACTCAAGTGTTTCTATGGTATCTCTAATACAGGGTATTTCACACAAAGCTGAATTCTTGCTGTTGTAGTAGAGGTTTTTTCTCCCAAGTATTGGATTAGCAAAAAAAAGCAAAATGTCAATACAAAAATACTTCAAAGTCACAGGTGGTCTGAATGAAAAATGTACTTTAAATACCTTGAGTAATTTTAATATTTATTTGAGAGCGAGAGAGGGAGAACGCATGTGCAGGCACACACGTAAGGTAAGCCGGGGAGGGGGCAAAGGGAGAGGGAGAGAGAATCCTAAACTGACTCCATGCTGAGCTGCAGGGCCCACTATGTGGCTTGATCTCACTATCCTGAGATCATGATCTGAACCCAAACCAAGAGTTGGAGGCCACTTAAGCGACTGAGCCACCCAGGCGTCCCCACCTCAAGTGAGCTTTAAGTTTCCAAATAATTATGACTACTTGGAACGACTCTTTGCCAAAAACATTTATTTTTAAAATTTACTTAAGCGTTTCATAGAAACTTAGTAATAGCCAGAGTAACTCGTGCCCGTTTAGCAAACTCTTAACAGCAAGAAGAAAGAGCTTATTAAAAGGTTCTTTTGCACAATCATAGTTAAATCAGTATGTTACGTCATCTTTTGATTGCTTATTCATTTTGCTTTCATCACACTGAAATCTTTAGACAGCTCTGTGTATATGCTCAACCCCTATTTTTCTTTAACTAGTTCCCCAAGAAAAGATATGTATGGCTCATAAAGGAATCTTACTTGATTACACTGTAGCATATGCTACTTAAAGTGGGTCACAGTATATGGAAGGTGCTTTGTTTTTCTCAAGTGTCTCCAAGTATTTCTGTGAAGAGCAGGTCAACATTTCACATTGTTTGCAAACTGATAAAATCTTTTTCTCAGGGTGGATAAATGCTTTCGTTTCTCAAGAAGAGGCCTGCTTCCCTATTACCCACTTTATGAGGTCTATCTTGGGTTTCTCCTGAGATTTTATACCTCTTGTTCTTTAAGGAAAAGCTTCTGTACTATCCTCTTTCATCCACTTCCTCTACACTGACCTTCATGTCCCCTGTCAATCCTGATTGTATTATTCTAGCCAGCTTGCTAAACTCTAAGTGGGAGTCTAGAGAGCTGGTTAAAAGGTTAGATCAATGGATATATCCTTTTAAAGAAATCCATAAATTGACCTTTGAACACAGATTTGAATTGTGTGGGTCCACTTATATGTGGATTTTTTATAGTATAAATGTATTTCTGTTATGTTTTAAGTATTTTCTTTATCTTACTTTACTGCAAGTATACAATATGTAATACATCTAATATACAGAATGTGTTAATTGTTTCTATTAGCAGTAAGGCTTCCGGTCAATAGTAGGCTATTAGTAGTTACATTTTGGGGGAGTCAAAGTTATACATTAATTTTCTACTTGGGGGGGTCATGTTGGCACCATTAACACACATGTCATTCAGGGGTCAGCTCTAGTTGTGAAAAGTTCATGTAATTATGAATTGAGGATGAGAAGAATCAAACAATGCTGTGTACTGAAACTGAAAATCAGTTTTCATACAACTCAGTTTTCATACAATTCAAACAGTGCTATGTACTGAAACTGAAAATCAGTTTCTCAGCCTTATGGTGCAATAATTTTGTTGTGAAATAAAATGCTAATCCCTTTCAGTTTTCAGGGGAATACAGTTTAATTAGATGTTGTACTTCTGTTGGATAACCTGTTATGGGACAAGCTTGGTGACTCCTCACATAATTAAATACACAGCGATAACAAAACACATAGCCAGAGGTGGCAAGAACAGTATCATTTACCCGGGTTTTGCGACACAGGGGGCACACAGTCTTCATTTTGGGTAACAGAGGAGAATCAGAATTGTAGTCTAGGTGTACAGGTGGTGGTGGAGTAGGCAGGGCAGTCAGTGATTTGATAGTTTCTTGATTTTCAGATGAGTACCACCACTCAAGGAACTGCAGAAAGAATACTCCCACAGAAAGGCCAGTAGAGAGGGATAAGGCCGCACCTCCCAAGGCTTTCTTCAGAGCTGACTTTATCTTCTCACCAACACTGGTAGAAGAATAGAACAAAGAGACAAAAGGAGAAACTGTTTTCTTAGGTTTGATCACAGAATGACTAATATAAATATACCTCTTATACTTTTCATCAGAATCACTGGTTCAGTTTGGATTTTGAGTAGTTGCTAGATTGGCACCGTCTCCTCTAGTATCCATTCGAAATTATTTCCTGTTTCTGACCTCCAGTGTTTGGGGAGTATAGGAACTAAATAAACTTTGTATTCAATGACTAGGGTTTTGTTTTTTTGTTTTGAGAAAGAAATTGGTAAGACATTGGTTATATAGATGTGTGTGTGTGTGTGTGTGTGTGTGTGTGTGTATAAGATAGTATATCAAGAAGAAGAAACAACTCACTTAACAAAAATAACTTAGCAATATCGAGGACTGTATATTTGAAGTTGTAGGAGAACATAAATACTAACTAGAAACAGTGGCATTGTGGTTAAGAGCACAGTCTTGAGAACTGTTGATCTAGCTTGAATCTCAGTTCTGCCACCTTCTAGCTATGTGGCCTTGGCAAGGTACTTGGCTGTTAGGTCTTAGTTTCCTTGGGTCTTAAACGAGGTAATGAATTTATTTCATTAAGTTGTCAGGAGGATTGAGATAATGTACGTGAAGCGAACAGCTAACACAGGGCCTGGCACACAGCAAGCATACATAAAAATGTAGCTAGTGTGCTAAGGAAGGTTACCAGGAGGGCAACTCTTATATGGACACAAGAATTTTTCTCTGATTTATGAAATACCTCAAAGTGGACTGAGGAAGGTGAGTTTCATAAAATTAGGTTAAGATTTTAGAACTTCTTTGTGAAAGGTTTGGGGAAATGTTAAAGCCTTACCTCCTGGCTGGTTGCTGCATTAGGCTGGCTTCAGCTGCTTTGTGCTCCAGAGCTCGTATATCTTGAACTGTAAGTCGACCGAGCCGAACTCCAGCCAGCCTCAGCAACGGTGAGTGATGCTGAGACTTTCCCAAGATGTATCGAAGTTGTTGTACAAAAAACCAGCCTTCCCATGCCATGTTAACAAATGGGTAGGCTGCCAGGAAGGCTCTATAAAACTGTTTCCAGCGGGAAGAAGGGGGATGGATAGAATATTCATCCTCTTCCCTCAGGCTAGAAACAAGCTTCTCCAGCTTCACTTTCAGGTAGGGAAGAAGAACCAGGAACATAATTGACTTCCACAGCTGCCGCTTTGGGAGACCAGCACTGGCCAGTCTCTCAGGCTTGTGTGTGTCCCCCATTACAATGCGCTTTAAGCCATAAAAATTTTCAGAAAATGAGGCACTGGCTTTAGACAGATAATGCTGCTGGAGCAGAAGATCTAGCAGGGCGAAGATTTCATCAAACCACCTCCAAAAGAAGCCATAGTGGGCAGGATTTGATTCTGCGAGAACCTAAAAGTAAATTAATAAATGAATTTCATTCCATTTCACAATTACTATGTGTTGTATTCACATTTCCTTTTTTTCCTCTAAATTCTGATACTTGGGGCTTAAACAAGTCACTTCTTTTGGGGATCTGCCCTATCCTCTCTGAAGTGCTAGGTATTCAGTACAGGGCTCTACACATAACAGGGACTCAAGAACCATTAAACCACAGGATATGAATTACATGCTAATTGGCAATTTCAAAACCTAGACAACCAAGTAAACTGTTTGGTTTTCACCCAGTCATCCCTAAAACCTTTCAGAGAATCAATATCTTACCTTGACCACATGCTGAAGAGCAGGTCTCACTGCTGTCATTAAACTGTCTTGTGCTACCACCTCAAAGATGGATGGCTGGTCATCCACCACAGAAGCAGTTGTGATGTGAGCCCCGTGCTCAGCCATAGTTTCTTATGTGCACTGGGTTTCGCCTTGCCCGCAAACTCTTTAGCAAGCATGAACTTGTTTTAGTTATCAAACGGGTGCTCAGTCTTAAAGGTAATCTTTCTGCAGGAGACCCAAAACTCCTCTTTTACAGAACTGGGGGTAGGAGGAAGACCTCTTCTGGAGGCAGAGAGGGGGAGGGGTCTCAAATCAAGGAGGTTAAGAACGAAATTAAGGCAGACGTGGCAGAAATTGATGTTGAAGTGGTAACGTGGGGGTAGGGGTGACTTGTCAAATGCTGCACCTTACAGGGCAAAGCACGCCTATGGTATACAGGTATGGCCGAAGGGGTGCTCTCTTGTAGAGCTGCAGTCCTGGAGGCTGCGAATCAAGGGCTCTCAATCGCGAGGGCTTAAAAGCCAGCCAGCTCTGAAGGGTTAGAGGTGCCAGTGCGGACCCGGTACGCGAGGGCTGGCTCCAGTTGTTGGCCGCAAAGTGCCCGCGCCGGTCCTTGTGCGCGGACCGCGGGCGAGGCCCTAAGGACCCAAGACGCCACGTTTGAAGACAGGCCTCCGCTCTGACAGAAGCCGCACCCGGAAATAGAAGGGGCCGGCGATTGGGATGGCTGACGGTGGAGAGGCGCTCTAGCCCGGAACGTAGCCCGGGAACCGGAAGTAGCAAACTCTATGATCCCTCTACGACTTCCGCTTCCGCTCATGCTGAAATTAAAAGAATTCACTTGGGGGCTAAGAGTGAATTCTCTGTCCGTTTGTGTTATTTATTTTTATTTATTTTTTTAAAGCTGATCTTGTTTCGCATTCTCAGTGGGAAGCCACAGCTCTGAATCTCCCTCTGCAGAGGTCTTTTCGGCAAGGTGTTCGGGGCGCTGCGGGGACACCTGGTGCCGGGAGCCAAGAGTTCGGGCCTGCTTCTGAGGCCTGTGTTCCCTTGGGCGATTTAGTTAGGGGTGGGGGAACGAAAGGGAATATGGACGTACAGAAGGTCTCTGTGCGCGCGGCGGGGGCGGTAGTTAATTTATATTCTGCCCCCTTCCGGGAAGGATTTGGAGCGACGCAGCTGGGGATAGAAGGCTTTAGCTTTGTTGCCAGTTATGAAAAAGATGATAGAATGAAAAAGGTTCCTGCAGTCCGTTGGAACTGGGAACTATTATTTTCCATTCCAGCTGGTAGATTAACAGTCTCCTAGGTGTAGTTGTGTTCAAGCGTAACTAGGCACTTGCACACTCGATGAAAATGGTTCCTGCTGCCGTACACGTTTGGATGTGTCACGGGGGGATCCTGGTATGTTCTAGCTAGAATGGACTGGGGACGCTTGGCAGATGGTACTTTTCACTGTTTGTATTGCAGAATTAACTTAATTTACCTTAGGGTTTGCAAAATGCTTTTACATCGTGTGCAGCTTTGCCTCGTTTGAGTTGCGTATACGGGTTTATTGAATTTCAGTGAGTTAAAGTTCAACCATTCCTCTTTCTCTCCAGCCCCTCCCCACTACTATGCTAAGTGGTTAGTAATAGAAGGTATTCACGGCCTAACTTATGGCGTAAAGACCATTGGTTTGCATAATGAGAACCCTCAAAAAGAAGGTTTGGGTTTAATTGTTTCAATAAAGTCTTGCAAGTTAATCTTACAATTCTAAACGTGTTTTTTACTCTACCAAATAACCTGCCAGCGACAATCACGTTGATGGAAGACTTTTACCTTACAGAAATTCAAGGACTAGAGATACTGTATCTGTATAAAGCACCTGACAAGTATTAGGTGCTCTAACAATAGCTTTTTTTTGTTGTTTGGTTGGCTTTTTTTTTTTTTTTTTTTTAGGACTAACTTACCCAATTTATTTCTGTTATGTTTTTCTTGGGACACGAGTAGTAAACAATAAACGTTGTCTAATGAGCTGCTTTCAATAACAATAAAAGTTCCAAGTGATAAGAAGGCATTATGTCAAAGTTTAGCTGGCAGAATTTTTCTTTCTCAGGTGAACATAAAATAAAGGTGCATCTTAAAAATCAGTGATGTTTTAGAGTCCATGGAATACACCAGATTTTGAAGTGCATTTTCTAGCCAGACAAAGTGGCTGGACATTTCAGACGAGAAAGCAGCACCATAAAGAGGGACAGATAGGGAAAGGACACAGTGAAGTTCTACTTCAAAGAACTTCTCACAGGTCAGTGTGGCAGAGGGGCTGGGAGTGGCACAACCAAATTAGGAAAGGAGAGGCGGGGCTGACACCAGACTAAGTTCCCCCATCACTGGAGACCTCAAGCGTTGGCAGACTGACCCTAATGAAGATGAAGAGGAAGATTCAGGCAACGCAGAGTCGTACAATATGAGGCCAGGCTTCAGATTTCACTACATAAGTTCGATTCTGGTTCAGCCCCCACTTACTGTGGCTTATACCTCAGGCATTAACATAACCTCTCTGGGTCTCAATCTCATCTATAAAGTGGAAACTATAATGTACCCATAATGTATCATAGGGTTGTGAGGATTTTTTAAATTAACATGTATTATTAGTTTCATGGTTACAAATAGTAGCTATTATATGCAGACTTAATTGAACTACAAAAGAATGAAGTTGAGACTTAGCATCAACTACAAGTGGGAAATTAAACGTTTCTATCAATTAGGGTTCTTTGTTTACAAGCAGAAGAAACAAACTAATATTTTTTTTTAAAGATTTTATTTATTTATTTGACAGAGAGATCACAAGCAGGCAGAGGCAGGCAGAGAGAGAGGAGGAAGCAGGCTCCCCTAGAGAGCAGAGAGCCCGATGCAGGGCTCGATCCCAGGACTCTGAGATCATGACCCGAGCCGAAGGCAGTGGCTTAACCCACTGAGCCACCCAGGCGCCCCAACAAACTAATATTTTAAAAATGTTTGGAAGTGTATGGAGTAGTTAACAAAATGAGGAAAGCCATCTCTAAAAAGGACAGGAACTACAGTTGTATTGGATGTCTCCAGCAAGAATTAGTAGTCTCGGGGTGCCTGGGTGGCTCAGTGGGTTGAGGCCTCTGCCTTCGGCTCAGGTCATGATCTCAGGGTCCTGGGATCGAGCCCGACATCGGGCTCTCTGCTCAGCGGGGAGCCTGCTTCCTCCTCTATTTCTCTCTCTCTGCCTGCCTCTCTGACTACTTGTAATCTCTACCAAATAAATAAATAAAATCTTAAAAAAAAAAAAAAAGGAATTAGTAGTCTCACCCAAGCAGTGTTGCATGAATGAGCTTCAACAACTTTCTGTCACTACTTATGATTCAAATGGCTATTGCCCTATCTTGGTTCAGATTTCTTCTCCACTCTTTCACTCTTAGAAGAGGGCAAGACTGAGGTTCCTGCTGGCTCAGCCAGTTAGGTGTCTGACTCTTGGTTTCAGCTCAGGTCATGATCTCAGGGTTGTAAGATTGGTTGGTACCCAGTTCCTTGCTCATTGTAGAGTCTGCTTAGGATTCTCTGCCTCCCCACCCCGCCCGCCCCCCCCCCCTGCGCCGCACACTTGCTCACTCTCTCTAAACAAATCTTAGGGGGGAAAAAAAGGCAAGACATCTTGATTAATAGTCTTTTGAGGATGCCCCAAAAGTAAATTGAAATTATTGCAAGAGAAAAAAGAGAAGCAGTAAAAAAATAACTAATGCCAATTTTTTTTTTTTTTAAGATTTCATTTATTTTAGAGAGTGTGCAAGCTGGGGAGAGGGGAGAGGGAAAGAGAATCTCAAGCCGACTTCTCACTGAGCACAGAGCCCCATGCTCTTGAGCTAAAATCAAGAGTTGAATGCTTAACTGACAGCCACCCAGGTGCCCCCAATTAATGCCAATTATTACAGCCAACAAATATCTACAGCATAGATCCCACTCTCAGGTTTATGTTTTAAAAGATAAGATACATATAAAGTATACTTAAGAGGTATATATTTTTTATATATGGATTTTTATTATATAATAAAATACATATATATTATTATTTTATATATTTATACATATATTAAGAGGTATTTTATATATATGTATATATTAAGCAGTATTAAGAGCCATCAGATAGGTTAGTATGTTGTGAGTTTAGAGGAAGAGATAACTATCAGCTGGGAGAAATAAGGCACTACAAACTAGCTTAAATAGCTATGTTGGCCTATGTAACCAAAGCAAAAAACGTTTCTATCCTTATATTTTATTTTGGCTTCTCTTTGCCAGTTGCTTTCTAATACAGTGATGTAACCTGTTACCTTCTGTACCTTGTACCATAACAGATACCACTGAGAAAATTCTGTGAATTAGGTGGATCTCAAAAAATGAGTACATTTGGGGCAAGTCATGGTAGTGGTAGGGCTTTCCAGGCTAAGGGAGCAGTAGGGAGTATGTAGGTGGAACAAATTGTTTAGTTTAACTGTAGAGCTACAGAAAGGAATAACAGAGTATGTTGAACATACACTTAGGTGGATTATGGAAGGTCTTAAATGCTATTATTAGTACTTTGCCTGTGGACATTCATTTGTTTAATAAATACCGAGTAATGTGTCAGGCATTACGCTAGGTGCTGGGTATGAAATAGTAAAAACAGATATGGAATTTATACTCTAGTTGAAAAGGGAGATAATAAGTAAATAAACACATAATTTATAAATGGAATAAGTGCTGGGATGGTGTGGCAGTGTGGGCTAGGAGGGCAGAACCTTTTAGACTGGGGAAACAACAGAGTGCTTTTCGGAGATTACAATTAGGCCAAATTATGAGCCAACCATTGGGATGGGTTGTTGATTATGAGTCAGGAGGGGCGGTATTTGTGAAGACCCTAGGATGGGAAAGAATGTGGCATATGCGAGGGCTGCGATAGCAAAAGAGGAAATGCAGAGTAACTGAAAGGCATAAAATGTTAAGGGAGGTAGGGGTCAAACTGTGCAAGGACTCTGGCCATGGGAAGGAGACTAGATTTTAGTTCAAGTGCAATGGGAATTCCTTGAAGGATTTATACACCAGAATCATGATGAGGTTTGTATTTTTAAGATGATCCTGTAATGTTTGTGTGGTTATGTTTACTTTGTGAAAATTCTTCCAAAGTTTACATTTATTATGTGTGCACTTCTTAAAAATGTTTGTTACACACTTGAGAATAAGTTAAATAACTTGGCTGCTGTATGGATAATGGTTGGGAGGAAAGTTGAAGTTTCTGGTAGCCCAGGCACTAGGTAGTGGCTTAGATTAATGAGGTGAAATAGAGGGGATTGGATGAATTAAAGGTTTACTTTGAAGGCAGATTGACAACTTGGAGATGGTTTGGATGTGACCATTAAGGGAGAGAGAAATCAAGAATGACTCTCCAGGTTTCTGGCTTGATCAATTTAGTGTAATTTATTGAGATAATCACAACTGTAGCAAATGCTGCATAGTCATACTATGTGCAGTTGTAGTTCTAAGTGCTTTACATATATCAATTCCCTTTGTCCTTATAATAATATCATGGTAGAATATTACTATTTTCCCTATTTTACAGATGAGAAAACTAAAGAGCATAGAGATGGGGGAAACTGAGGGAAGGATAGGTTTGGACTTACTAGGCATTGAGGAGCTGTTAAAAGTTTTTGAATAGGAGAAGGACATGAATCAAAGTCCTTTAATAAAGATTTTCCTGGTGGGATC